GAAGGCAGTCGCTTAACCAACTGAGCCACCAAGGCGCCCCTTATTTTACTTTTTTTAAAAAAAGTAAATAATGTTTTCTATCATGAGAAATCACAAGCTACAAGAAATTAGTCTACAAAATTGAGTCTTCAAGAAGCATAGCACCCATAAAATAGTGCTAATGAAATCTCAAAATTGTACTACTTGTTTAAAAGTTTTATTGTGGTTCTGCAGTGTGCTTTGGGCACGTCAGGACAGGCTATAAAATCAGAACATGGATTCGGCCTTACAGTCCTGGCATTGCCACTTTCTAGCTGGGTGACCTTGGGCACATCACTTAACCATTTTGTGCCTGTTTTCTTATCGGTGAATTTGGGGGAATAGCATATACTTCATAGGGTTGTTATAAAGAATAAGTGAGTGTAAAGCACTTGGAAGAGCTCTTGGCATATAGAAGGGCCATCTAAGTATTTACTTTTATTTTGTTTTCAGGCTGGTTTACTTACCACCACAGATCATAAGCAACTTGCATTCATTCGATAAATTTGTGTTGAACACCTATTATGTGCTAGGAGCTCAGCTCAGTTTTAGGGTTGTACCACAAAGGATATGCTGTGATCAGTTTATATGGGTATCAACAATGCACTGTGGTAGTAGAAAGGAGAGCAGGATCTCCTCTGCCTCAGGGGTTCCTCTCTACACCGGGGGTTCTTGACCTGTGGTCTTCAGCCCATCAGTGGGTCTATAGATAGAATTCAGGGGAGTCCCTAAACCCTGATGGAAAAAAAAATCTTTATTTTCACCAATCTGCAACCAAAATGTTAACATTTCCTTCAGTTATGAGTGTAGGTAACTGTTCCAGTTAGTTATTGTTGGGTAACAAGCCAGTGAAAACCAGTGCCTTAAAACTACAATAATTTATTATTTCTCATCATCAGTGGGTTGCCTGGGCAGTTCTGGCATCCCCAAGTGGCTGAATTCAGCTGGTGCCTAGACTTTAAGGTGGTCTTACTGTCATGTATGGGGGCTTGGTGCCCCTCATTTTGCCTTCCTTGGGCTTCCTCACATGGTCACTGGGTTCCAAGAGGGCAAGTCCGATTGTGCAAACACTTACCTGCTTGCATCACATTTGCTGATGTCAAAAACAAGTCACATGGCCAAGCCAGAGTCAATATGGGTGCACTACACAAGAGCATGGATATGAGGAGGTTCATTGGGAGCAATTAATTTAATAAGCTAATACAGCAATAAATCACAATAGTATTAGCACTACCTGTCATCAATAGAAGTCACAGGAACAATAGATGTCACAGATATTTTCATATCACAATTTTTGCAGATTGCAAAGTGTCATGGTCATCACTACTTCAAAATTACAGTAGTTAAAAGACTGTTAGGTCCTTTTATTTAATGAGGTAATGAGTATATATTACTGTATCACATTTTGAGTTTTTTTTTTTAAGATTTTATTTATTTATTTGAGAGAGAGAGAGAGAGAGCATGAGAGGGGGGAGGGTCAGAGGGAGAAGCAGACTCCCTGCTGAGCAGGGAGCCCGATGTGGGACTCGATCCCAGGACTCCAGGATCATGACCTGAGCCGAAGGCAGTCACTTAACCAACTGAGCCACCCGGGCGCCCTCACATTTTGAGTTTTAAAAATGTTTTTATAACTATTGAAGTATAGTTGGCATTTTATGCAGTTGGAAGCATTATTTTGAGAAGGGGTCCATAGGGTCTGTGGCACAAAAAAAAGGACAAAGAACCCCTGGGAACTTAAGGGGAGGCTTCACAGAGGAGACATTTACATTAATTTGGAAAGACAAGTAGGAATTCCTCAGGTGGATGAGCTGGGGAGCATCAGCAGTGGTACTCCTTTGTGGGGAGTGCTAGTATAGCTCAGCTTAAATTATTCAAACATATAGTTTGAGTAGAAAAGATCACAACAAACCGTGGCAGACACCAAAATGTAAGAAATAAGCAGAGGAAGAGGGGAGGCCAGAGATGTTCGAGAAGCAACTTCTGATAAGTAGGTGTACAAAAGGGTGATGTTTAGAAAATCAAGGGAAAAAAGTTTCAAGGAGGACAGGCTATGTTAAGATGCTTTCAGCTGGGCAAACCCAGTTACTTAAATATTTAAGGAGAATTCTCTCACAAAGTCTAGAGGAAGGGTGGACTCCAGTGGGTCAACAATGTTATCAAGGACCTGGGCTCATTTCTTGGCTTTCCATGGTAAGATTGGTTCCCCTTATGGTTGTAGCATGACTGGCAATAGTAACACATGCTTTCTCATTCACTAGAGCAGGGGAGAGGACAAAACTTCCACGCTTGGATTACACTTTTCCTTCAATCTGATTGGACCAACTTAGGTCACATGTCCGCCCCTGACCTGATAGCCAGTGCCAGGGGAATGCCATGCTCTGATTGGCTTGGACTAAACAGGATCAGCTAGGGATGGGGTCAGTTTACCTTAAACATGTGGGAAAGAAATGAATTTAACCCAGTGGGGAATGGAGTTTGGATGTGCGACCAGCAATGTCCATTACAGAGAGATAAGTTAGATGAATTTAGGGAAGTGTTTGTTAATTTGGGCAATTTGGAAAGCTTTCATGACTTTTATACATGTGGGTTTACTGATGGAAATGAAAGCTATATTAATATGGGTTGGTGATTGAGACATGAGTAAGTGGACACAATAGTGGGGTTGATAAATTTGACTTTCTCCTTCAAGGAAGGAGAGAGAATATGGTAACTAGAGGGACATGTTGGGTCAAGATTGTGGAGTTGTTTTTGTGGTTGTTCCAGTATTCAAGATTTGGCAGTGTTTATGGCCTTAGGGAGGAATATAGGAGGGGGCTTTTAGAGGAGAGAATGCCTCAGCGTCAAAAAGGAGGAAAGATGTTGCCTTCCTTCTGTGAGCTGGAAAGAAAAGGTTGGCAGTGATGGTAGACCAGTGGTTCTCAGCCAGACAGTACCAGCCATTTGGGATACATTTTGGAAACTTGGATTGTTCTGCATGTCTTTAATTTAGTTGTTTTTAACATTTATATACTGAAATACAATTCTTATAAATCTTTCACTTTTGTTCTCTAACATGTTACCATCAAATCAGTATACTGGTCTCTCTTTTTTTTGGTCTTACATGTGTAGATGGGTGATCAATTTTATTTCAAGAGAGCAAAACAGTTACTTAGAATATTTGTCATAGAATGGCGGTGTTAGGTTGAGAAAGTTAAGAACCAGTGCTTCTCAAACTTTAATGTACATGCAGCTCTGCTCCAGTAGGTCTGGGGTGGGGCCTCTTGGTGTCCATTTTTTTTTTCAGTGAGCTTCTGGATGATACAGATGATGCTGGTCCCCCATCATACTTTGAATAGCAAGAACTGAAGCAGATGGGTAGATGAATGGTTGTGTTTTTAAAGGTAAATTGATTTTATGAGTGTGGTGGGATTTGCAAGAGGCACTGACCAAAGGAAAAAAAGGTCAGTGAGGGGCGTTGAGGACTCTTCTGAGAACTGCTTCGGGAGGTTCATCATGGCTGCCTCCTGGAAGTGGGGACCAGCAACGGGTAGGATTCATCTGGGTTTAAGAGTTTATCAGCTTGGGTCAACCAGGACTGGAGCGGAAAGGAATTGATAGTATAGGTGTTGGTGGAAATAGTACTATGTGTGTGACTAGTTATGTCCATATACAATTAAAATATTTAAACTGGAACCATTGTTTTGATTTATCCATCTTCAGGTCAGTAGGGGGCACTGGTGGATTAAAAAACACGTTTGGAAAAGCTGCCCAGTCTGTATTTGCACACTATTCCAGGAAGCAAGTTTTTCTAGGTGCTGCTGCTGGAGTTGAAAATATGTACCCAGTCTCCAGATTCATGTTACTAGATTTCATTCATTACACAAATGTTTATCATAGTCCAGCTATGACTGAGCACTGTGCTACACCCTCACTGGTACAAATAAAAAGTCTTAGTTCTTACCCAGGACAGAGTCCCCAGATTTGGCCGCATGCCAGAATTATTCGAGAGACATTTTCCAGGGCCCTGCCCATGGATCTGATTTCCTTTTTATGTGAGGTCCAGGAAC